ATATATATATATATATATGTATGGGTCTGGCCAACCCTATCACTATGTTACATGTATTTTATAAAAACCTTTATAGATAATTAAATATCACCATTATGTGCAACTGAACATTGCACAATCACATGATATTGATAATATTGCTCTAATGGGTTTTAAAGGCACAAAATAATGAAGCAAAGCTGTAATCTACAGTTAACCACAGCGTTCTTACATTCACAATCAACACACAGTAATGGCGGCATTCTTTACACAGAAGTACACAATATCGCTGATAGGCGATGTCCAATCCAGTAATATACAGTCTAAGCCACAATGTTCTGGTTTAAACACACTGCACTACTTCAGTCCTCTGACCCCTGTACATCTCGTCCAGTCTAATGCACACTAGGAGGCTTTTGTTGATTGTTTGTTAAGCGTGCGAAGCATGCCCAAATTCCCATAATCCCATATTCCACCTGCCACTGAATGTAATCTGGGTCTCATTGGGGCAGACACTGAGTGGGAGACCATATGCTGCAGCAGTAAAAATATTGAGTGCATTGATTTGCAGTTCTTTGTTAAACCATGTTGAAATGTATCCATTCTGACACCAAATTTAACAAGTTTAATTTGAAAAAAGATAAAAAAACTAATAACTGTGGTTTTGGTTCCTGTCTTTGCAAGTTTCTTTAGTTTGAAGGTCTTAAAGAAAAGATCAAAATGCTCTGTGTGGATTCAGGAACCAAACACTCCCTCCTGTATTGTTTATCTTATATATATCCTCTCAGCTTTTTCTCCTGCTTAAAGCCACTTATTTGCTGTATTAAAGTTACCGTACAGATATAAGATGCTGCGCGAGTAAAGAAACTCGAAGGGATTTAGGTCAGTGGTTCAGGTGACCGTCACAGAGACAAAAACCAGCACCTGTCTGCACTTTGGAAAGACGTGGATCAATTCTCCATCTCCTGACCTCCATGATGGTTTGATGTGTCTGTACAAGCTTTTTCTTCTTCTTCTTCTTGTGCCTGCATGCTGATAGGGAGCTCYCCTTTAATCGTGACTGATTTAATTAATTTCAGGCTGACTGCTGAGGCCCCAGATTCTCCATAATCACTTCAGATCTTTGGCCATGCCATCACTCTGATCCTGAACATTTATTGATTGGATARGGGTGATGGGATACCAAGGCAGTAATTGTAACTGAGGTCATTTTTTTTAAAAGGTTGCTCTTAAGAGACTGTCAACAACTGGTGCGCATATTCACAGCTCGGGTTCCTGCCAAAGCTGCTATAGAAACAAACAAACAAACAAAAATACATTTTTAATGAAAGTCCTAACATTCCTTTTCATGACAGATCATGTTGAGAAATAATGGCGTTCAAGTCGTTTTGGTCAAACCTTGAAAACAATGTCGTGTACTCTCATGAAGTATTGTAATACTTTATGATTATGTGGAAACTGGGAGATTAAACAAGTAATTTTATGGGAGGGACAGATTAAATAAAAATAATAGCAAAAAAAACTCCACATCCAGGACTCAAGCTCCATTCTCCTGCACAACCGAGTTATTCACCAGTACTAATGAGGAGCTGTCAGTGGTGAGGGCTTACTGGAAGCTATTTATCCATGCTAGCTGCACCGCTACAGTCTTCAGGCCTGCAGCCTCCTGCACATCTTTATGTTGCCTTAAGCAGGTGTACAATGGACTAAACCACTGTTGGGCCAACCCATTCTCACTCCC